GATTGATACTGAAGCTCAAGCTCAGATACTTTGGCCACCTAATGCGAAGAGAGAACTCTTTGGAAAATGATGCTGGGAAAGATGGCAGGCAAAGAGAGAAGGGGACAGCAGAGGATGAGATGGTTAGATAGCATCACTGAAGCAATGAACATGAAATTGAGCAAACTCTGGGAGGCAGTGGAGGATAGGAAGGCCTGGTGCAATATGGTTCATGGGGTCATGAAGAGTCAGACATGACTTAACGACTGAACAACTACAAAGCCAAAGGGAATGGTGTTGGGGGTTGGGGTTTACTAGGAAAACTAGTGTACTGAACCTAATCATGCATATAAAATCTGTCTGAGAGGGCTGGATTTATATATTACATTGACTCTTCATTTATTTAACTGCTTTGTTGAGCAAGCCATGTTGGCCTAATTCATACACAATCTTTTTAGACTCCACCTGTTCTCATGTGATCACTCCTAATAGGGTGAATGCCCCCAACCCCATGATTTTTTTTTTTAATTGAAGACTCTTGTACAATCTTAAAAGAACACCTTATAAATTTTTGTAATCTATTCTTTTATTGTACAGCCATGGAAGCTGGTTTAAGGTGTAATAAGCACCATGTTGACCCCTGCACTAAGTTGTGCCATGCTTTACAATCCATACTGACTGAATTCACTTGTGATGCTAAGCAGAAACCATATCCTGACTTAGCAAAATGTATGAACCCAGCCTATGACGTGATGGATAGATGCAGGCTTTTTATGTCCTTGTCCAGTGATCACTGTATACTTTAACAGATGAGTGTTGGTTTTTTTTTAATATTTTATGTTGCATCTTGTTCTATCTCCAACCAGGTAAAGCTGAGAGAACCAGGTAAACTCCTGAATACCCCTACTGGTCTTAACTGCTTTAGATTATATCATACTGTTTATAAAGTATATGTAATGACTTCCAGGACAAGGCATCCTCAGGATCTTCCTTCATGGGAGACAATGAAATCATATCCAGATTTTCCACACCGTGAAAGTACCAAATGTTTAAAGCAGATTAAAAATTAGTTTAAAAAAATATGAGAAATTTATGGGACTGAGAAGTTGGCCAAACTAGCTATTTTCTGGAGAAAAATAAACTATTAGAATGCAGTTCCCTTGGGAGCTTTAGCTAGGCAAGTATTATTTGCCACATATTTCCCTCATATTCCCTGGATTACTGCTTTGGCAAATATAATAGTTATAATTGTTATTTACAACTGTTTAAGCATGAGATACTTTCCATATGCAGCTATAGATAGAGAATGCAGAACCATATTGGGATCTGCTGATTTTTTTTTTACAATCTGATATCTGCCCATCACAGTTATATAACAAAATGTTTATTTTTTTTAAAGTTAAAGGGAGTTTGCACGTGTACGTGTATATGTAATCCAACTATTTACCATTATAGTTTTAGATTTCTGTGAAAGATAATTTCATCTGCTTGGAGATAGCAAGGTTGTATCAGCAAACTTCAGTCTGTGCTAATACAGATTCTTTTCGCAGCTTGTTCTGGAATTTCCTTGTCCAATCCTGTAGAATCCACCTGGTTGCTTTTAATTTCCTCTTGCTCATCCAATTCCCTTTCAGAATGCTTTGTTTTTTTCAAATCTGGTTGCTCAATGCGTCCTCTGCGCACAAAATGGCTGATGCGAGATTCTAGTCCTTCACATTTGGGACGATCCATTAACGGTTTGTAATTGCGGGCTTTCACTCCCTCGATTAAAGCACTAATCTGGTTGTGGACTGGTGGTGTTACTTCTCTCCAGAGAATCGTTGTGCTGTTGCTTGAAGCTGTAATCAACAGTTATCATCAGAACAAAAAAATCATAGCATTTAATTCACTAATTGCTTCTGATCTTTGAAGTTGTTCTAAGTATATTGGAGCTTGTTAGAACCACTCTGCTTAACAATACAGTTTTAACATATTGCTAGATGTATTTGTTAAACAAGGGAAAGGGTTCTGTTAAAGCAAAATGCTCATTAAATATGAAGCAGATTTTACAGAGGCACAGAAGTACACAGTGTATGAGCAGATTTTGTCTACTGCGTGGTAAATTGAAGATTTGCTTTAATACAGTTTTTAAAAACTTCTGTTTTTCCTACCTGGCTCTGTAGGCATCTTTGCAAAATCCAGACCCCGTAACATGCTGTACAGCATCTGAGTTTTAATAGCATGGTTGGTCCAAAGCTGCTGAAAGCGTGTAACATTAAATTCCTGGACTTGATGATCATAGATCCACTGGATGTTTTCAAACTCACAGTCATATAAAACTAGAGGAAATTCCACTGCCATGCTGCAAGGAAATCAACTTAAATTAGTTACAAATCACTAATTCCAACAGAGAAGCACATATTGTTTTAAAAATGCTATAAGCTCTTGACAAGAAATCATAATCATAAAACATAACCTTGACAAAGAGAAAGTCCCATATTCTGTTTCTACTATTGCTGTTTCAAAAGATCTCAGTAGTATAGGCAAGCCCAGATGCAGAGAGCCCCTGCCAACACAGTAAGCTTAAGCATGCTTTCAGGAAATCCTCTGCCAAGTCATCCCTACCTGTATTGTGGTTTCCTAGGATTGGTTTCTATATCAAACAACTCATCAATAATCTGTGGCTTCTCCATCCTTTGTCCGATCAGGAAGAGGATGGCCATCATACAGCGGACTTGGTGATAGAGGAATGCTTGGCCTGTCACTTCAAACTCGTACATTTGGAAAGGATTTAGTTCTTCCACTTTCCCTTCTTGGTCCGCGAGCTTCACTTCTGCAGTCAGGATTGTCCTCTGAAAGTTGGTCACGCCATTGGCTACGTCCATTTTGCAGAGATTACGAAAATCATGGGTCCCTACAAATCTCTGAGCTGCAGCATTCATGAGAGCGACATCCAGATCAGCCCGGGGGAAAAAATAGCGATAGGTTCTCTTCAGGCAACTAAATCTAGCACTGAAGCTAGGATCTACGGAAGCCCATGCCAATGCTCTTATGTCAGGAGGGAGCACCTGATTCAAAATATGGGTGTAGCGGATCTCCTCTGAAATACAACCTTTACCTTCTGTGGCAAGCCCAGGTTTACTCTCTGAAAGGTTTGAACGGAGATCCAAGGAGATCACCTGAAATATTGCAAAAAGGTTATTGTTCTGGAGTTAGATACGCATTTCTTTTCATTAGCATTAACAGTTTTCCTGTTTATACATTGGTGAAGAGCTCCCAGCCTAACTGGCCATGGTATAATTATTTGGTATCCTGATGTTTCGCCAGCGTAATTTTCCTGTTCATAATATATTCAGAAGCTTCCTGTTGTGCCAGTAAAACATAATTATAACCAGAATCTGAGTACTGAAATACCACTATTGTAGGGATTGCGATACTGTGAATTTTGATTCAGTGGAGTTTCATATAACAGATTTTGTATGCAGTGGACTACATTTCCATGGCAATTTATGTCATTTGCATAATGGTGTCAGGCACATAATATATTTTGGCCTAAATGACATTTCTATAATGGAAATGACACCATTTTACAAATTACATAAAGTGCTTTTGCATTTAACAGATGTTACTTTTGCATTTAACAGACATTTATGCATAACATACATCCTCTTTCCACAATTAGTCCATTAAAGTGCTTCACTGTATAAATAATGTTTTGGGGTAGTTTTTCCTGGGGACTCCAAATCTCAATTGCTTTAATGAAACAAATGTTCATTATTTATAATATAGATCCTTTCTAAAGAACTCAGTCTTTTTTTGCAGAAAAAGGAGGTTGTTTGTCATCAGTTACAGACCTAGATCAGGTTTATCTCCTAATCCCACATTAGCTGCATTATTAGCCATCTATTTACAGATGTTATAATTTAAACTATTATATGGATTAGTAATAAATTAGTAGTTCTTGTTCCTACATTCAGGCTTTTCAATAACTGTT